AAATCACCAAAGTCAATGTACTCCTTCTGCATATCTCCTCTTGCAACAAGTCTGGTTTTGGCCTTCGTAGGAAAGCCGAACGCATCTACCTTCCAATCAAACACAAACTTCGACTTGATACAATTACCGATTGGTTGCTAGGGTCCAACAACCTTGAATGCATCTGCTTCTAGCAACCCAAACACCTCTCTCTTCGTTGCGTCCATGAACTGGGTGCTGTGCACGCTCTCCTTCGCCTCCTTGAATGTCTGGGGAACCCTGAGGTCCTTGGCGTGGCAGCGCGGCATGTCGGGACGCAGAAGGGGTGGCTCCATCTCAGAGATAGCCGAATCGAGGTCGTCGCGCGTCGCAAGACGCGCCATGAGCCCGAGCGGAACGCCCCGCTCAGAGGGACCGATCGACCATCCATACCCCACGCGTCCCTTCTCGCCCGTGTCCCCCTTAGGCAGGATGCCCTTGCTTCCTCCCGCGTCCCCACTCCGAGCTCGCTGCTCCCCTCCGCCCCCCTGCTCATCATCCCCCTTCAATCCTGGCCGGAGCATCGTCTTCCCGTTCATGACTCGCCGAGCATCCCCCGCCTCCCCCCCCTCCCCCGTGGAGCAACCCCATCTCTCCGCCCCCGTGGCTCCCGCCGCCGCCGTGGCTACCGTGCCGGTGGTGCCCCCTCCCGTGCCCCCCGCCCCCGCCCCCCTGCTGCGCCCCCTGTGACGGGTGCGTCGGCTCCTGCGTCCTCACGTGCCGCCCGATCTGCGCCGTGACGCCGAACGCCAGCGCCAGCGGGTACGACAGCCTCGCGTTGCGCCGCACCTCCTCGGCCTTGCTGGCGGCCGCCGCCGCCGCCTCCGTGCCCCCGGCCTGCGTCCCCGTGCTCCCGGCGTTCGAGCCGGCCCCGTCCAGGCTGCTGCCGCCGCCGTCGACGACGCTGCCGCCGGAGTTGGAGAACGCCTCGTCGTCGTGGGAGTTGGAGGAGGCCGCCGCCGCCGCCGCAGCCGCAGCCGCCGCCGCCGTCTCCGTCTCGTCGGCGACGTGAGTGACGGAGAAGATGCAGATGACCACCATCTTGAGCAGGAGCGCGTCGCCGAATGCCGAGTTGGAGAGGAGCGTCCGGAAGTCCGCGATGGCCGTCTCGAAGATGCTGGGGAAGTCCTCCAAGTCCTGGGATTGAGAAGGAGCCGAGAGGAAAAAAATAGAAAGCGCGATGAGTTATTAACTGGCTAAATATCCTAGCTCCCATCGATGGATTGAGATGGATACGTCGTGTACATACTATAATAGGAATATATACAATAGGGGGCGAAGGAGGCGCTGAATGCATTCACCTAACTGCGTTGGTGAATACCGGCACACGCGTGTGAAAATTGGCGTGTCGTTTCGAAAGGGGTGTTCTTTCATGTGCTGCTGTTCAAGTTTTGTCGCATGTAGCGAAAAACAAAACAACAAGGGCACCAGATCCATATATTCATGGACCGACCAACACCACGAATGCAGGGAAAAAAAATCGCGAGGTCCCGAGACAAACGCCGCACGCAGGGGGAGGGGGTAAACGTAGAGAGCACCGGGGGGAGGAGGGCGGCCACGCATTCGGGCTCGCCGCTAGGGAACCACCAACTTAGGTAAATGCGCATCGCAAACAAGGCTACAACAAACTCTCGCCACAGCAGCAGCCGCTGTGTTCTTGAACCAGTATCACCTCAGCTTTCCCGGAGAAGATCATGCCGTGGAGGCGCACGAATCGCCGGAGGAAAGACTTGAGCAAGGCCCCGGTATTTCCACGTCTGCCACCATGCAGGGCACGCACAACGGTGGGGGGGGGTGACAAGACAATCAATCAAGAGGGGGGACGGACGGGAAGGGAGAGCGCGGTTTGAGAACATCGCGGATCAGCAACAACAAAAACAAGTAAGCATCGCGGATCGTAGCTACTTGTACACAGCAATTAACATTCGTCCCAAAAAAATGAGCCCAACTACCACCCGCCCCCTTGTCAGGAGGTTTTAGGGTACACCCCGTCATGGTCAGCTTTTTCGGATGCATCACCTCCTGCTCCAAAAAACAAAACAAAACAACTTCGATTTCCTGCTCTAAAAAACAAGGCGATATACAACTGCGCTTTCAAGACAACAACATCAACTTTGTGTCTGTCTCTCACTCCCTTAGAAAACACCAACATCTCTTTCGTCTGTCTGTCTGTCTCTCTTTTAGAAAACGCACACGTCTCGATCATCTGTCTGTCTATCTGTCTGTCTGTCTGTCGGTCTGTCTGTCTCTCTCTCTCTCTGTCCACCTCTCTCACCCTCCGGACCCCTTTCCTTTCCCCTTGCTGTGGTGGTGCCCCCCGCCCCCGCCCCCCGTCGACTCTCTCCCGCCCCCCAGGCTCTCCTTGCCCCCCTCCAAGGCCGGCATCCCGAAGCCCTTCTGCTTGTTCTTCTCGAACAGCAGCGTCAGATTCTCGTGGGCCGTCTGGAACGGGCTGTCGATCATCAGGCTGCGGCAGTACCTGTACACCGAGACGCACTCCGCGTCCGTGTAGGTGGCCAGCACGGCGAGCTGGTTGTGGGGGTTCCCGCTCGTGGGAAGCACTGCCAATGCCTGGGACAACAGAGAAAGAGAGAGAGAGAGAAAGAGAGAGAGGCGCGGGGTGGAGTAGCGGCGAAGGCAGCATAGAGCAGCAGCAGACAGCAGCAGCAGACAGCAGCAGGAGAAGAGCAGCACAAACGTGTTCTGAGCCCAAACCAAAACAGAAGAAGCCAACGATGAGCTTGAGGACAAACGAGACAACTAGGTCCACCGAAGGCCCGGGCAACAGGGAGAAAAACAGCTAAGTAGTGCCCTCCCTTGAATAATTGAGTCGGTCATTTCGGCTTCCCCCTTCGCCGATACCCGTCACACAAGCACAGCAGTTTTGCACCATCTCCCCAGACACATATCAGCCATCAGCCACTATAGCCCCAGCTCATCCAGTCGACAAAAAACAAACATCTCAAGACAACTCCTAGACGCCCATGCAAAAACACGCGCAGAGCACCGAACCCGCGACAACAAAAACAGAACAAGCAACATCTGCCCGCCCCCCGATCACCCCCTCCACGCGCCCTCTGCGCGACCCCCGTTGCCCGACCAACAAACCAGCCGACGCACCTGGTGGTAGTACCGTTCGGCACTGGACCAATCCTTGACGGAGTTTTCCCCGTGCAGCTCCCGGTATCGCGCCAGGTCGCCCAGGAAGATGAAGCACCGGTTGATGCTCAGCACCACCAGGCGCACCAGTCGCGTCTTCCGGTCGCTGCTTCCTATCGCCGCCGGCGGCCCTCCTCTCCCGCATTCTCCTGAGCTTTT